TCTTACAAGTTTTCTTTACCAATGGTTAAGGCTTTCGTGGAGAAGGAATGGAACTCCTAAAAATTGGGAGAGTTATACCTTGATAGATACAGTTGAGAATCTCAAAGTCTGAAATTTCCCTGGACCCAATAAACCATTTCTAGGCTCACATCCCTACTGGGAAGTACTAGGTCAGCAAAGGAATGATAGGAGTATACAAGAAAGTGGCTAGAGGAGTCAGGGGAAGAACCGCATGCATCCTGAAACTTCTGGATCAAAGAGGGGTGACAGAACATGAAGTTGGATAAGGGATACCTACCACCCCCCAGAGCCATATCCCATGACTCAAGATTTAACTCTATAGCAAATGCCCCAAGGATAATGACACTAAGCTGCTAGAATGTCTTAGAGGATTACAAAAGCTGTAACTCACATTTAATGAAATAGAAATACAGGAACTTCCATTGTACATGTTGGACAAAAAGTATCCAAAAGCTCAGAGAAGAAAGCATGCTAAGTGGATTTGCTATCCATAAAGTTTAGGGGGAAAAAGTAACCAACTGCATTTTCAGGAAGGCCTCTTTTAGTACCTATCATCTGTAGGTCAAGATTAACTGTAGGAAAAGATGCTGTTATTAAACTAGGCTTCCTGAAGAATGTGAAACTAGCAAGAAAGATCTTCAAAAATATGTCAGGTTGTAATGTTTAATTGTCAGATGTAAGATGGGTGCATTTGTTGCAAAGCATGGGAGGATTGTAGTGGCATCTAGGGGCACCCAACATGATAATGGTTAATAAWATATGATGTTTCTGGATAAGCTGCCAACAAAGGTATTGCTTAAGTGTTTGGTTAAAAGAAATTAGTGATGGCCAGGTGCAGTGGCACATGCCTGTAATCCCAGCAGCTCAGGAGGCTGAGGAAGGAGAATTGCAAATTCAAAGCCAGTCTCAGCAACTTAGCAATTATCACGACCCTGTCTGAAATAAAATCCCAAAAAAGGGCTGGAGATGTGGCTCTGTGGTTAAGCACCCCTGGGTACAATCCCCAGTATCTCCCCCCCACAAAAAATAAATCAGTGATAGATTATCAGAAGAAGAGGGCAGTAACAATAAAAGTAAAATCCCTTGCTCAGTTTCCACAGCAGACCTGGAACCCATTGGCTGGTTTCCCTAAGTAAAAACCTTGCAATATGAGGGCAAATCTATTATTTTGTTATCTTCCCACTTCATAACCTGGGAACTTTGGACCATTTATTCAGGTCAATATATTTTACCTTAATATTCAATACTTTGGGGATACTGAACACTGGGTTGGAATTAAAACTACTACTTGGAGACCAAATGAACCACCATGGTTCCCTACTAAATTAAAAGCATATAGGAACATCTAGAGTCCTACCCAAGGTCTGGTTCTCAGTGGACCCACTGCTCCATGAACCAACTTGATAAAACATGCCCTCATTTCCAAATACATAATTGAAAAGGACACTGTTGGTAGTTTAAAAGCGCTCACATTCATTTTTCACCTCTTAGGCAAAAGCTATTGTGGTGGAAAGGGGCAAGTGAATGCTCAGAAGCCTTTTGCTCAGAAGCCTCCAACAAAAAGGAGAAATTAAAAACCAAAGCTGAATCCCAAAAGGAATGGGGGGAAAAATCAATGAAAATTTCAAAGACTTTAATATTGTAGTGGCCCCTGTCACATTTCCTTTTATTTCACAATACTGTCTCCTGCAAAAACAACCAAAGATGTCAGCAATGGTAGTAGCCCTGGTTTGAAGCTGCTGCCCTCAATGTTAATTATTTGCTGGAACCAACTGAAATAACCTCCAGCATGTGATCTGGAAAGTGTGTGTGTGTGTGTGTGTGTGTGTGTGTGTGTGTGTGAGAGAGAGAGAGAGAGAGAGAGAGAGAAAGTGAGTTTTGTTTTGTGTGTGTGTGTGTGTGTGTATCTGTGTGTGTGTTTCCATATCTATAAGGAAAGAGAATCAGAACCAGTCTGCATTCCCATGGGATAGACAACAGTTTACATTTATGGTCTGGTCTCCAGTCTTTTTCCATTCTTACACCCTTTATCAAAATATAGATCGGAAGGATCTGTATTTTATGATCATTCTGTTTAACATTACACTGACCCACCATATAATTGACATCGTCTAGAAGGACCAGATGAAAGATATGGGGCAAGTATAATAGAGGTCTTGGTAAGCACCAACACCATGCGTGAGAAAGAATAGGTGATTAATCTTATAAAGATTCAGGAGATTTGTGATTCCAGAGACGATGGAGTACACATTTCCCCTATCTCTGCTGGTAGGGATCTTAGGGCTGAGGGAATGATAAGAAAATGATTTTTTTTGTTGTTGTTTTGYTTGATTATTCTACTACATATTCTACACTGAATACTAGAGAAGGCAGTAACCCAGAAATGCCCATGGTACAAACACAACAAAAGCTGTGAGGTTTTTCATATTTCAATTTTGATAAAGTGGCTGGGCTGTCTCCTGTGAGAGGGGTGGCAAGAATAGGGAGGGTTTAAGGAGGATTCAGAAGATAACTTGATGGTCAATAAGTTTTAATTGTTTATGATTTTGTTTCATTGTTATCTCTCATGCAGACATTACTAATCAGTGGTGATAGATCAATCATTAAATAAGATTTATAGAAATAAACACATTCTAAATTGTTCATGAAATAGTAAAAATTCATTGTCAATGATCTCATAACTTAAAATTCAGCCAACTTCAGAAACAAGTGAATTGAAATACCCTTAGGCTAAAGTGGAATAGTCTGTTCCATTTAATCAACTAGGTGGAAATACTTATAAATTGAATTCCTTTAAATTCATACAGTGAATCAACCATGTGCAAATTTCTGAAGGTTTTTATTTTTTATTGATCATTGAGTTTCTTGAATGGCAGATAGTTTGATGAGTGACACTGTGAAACTAAGAAGTATTTAAATTAAGAAATATTGAAACCCATGAGAAGTGAATGTGAAGATGCACAAAATTCAAGACAATTGGCTTGTGAAAGACAAGTATGGTGCACTGATTACAGAAAGGAAGACAAGTCTTACAATGAACTTTTATTTGCAGCAAGTTTCTGAAGGCTTCCTCATTTAGCATTTCTTATTCAAAKAATACAGCCAGAAAATTCTGTCTTCAGCTGGTAGGAAGAGTCTTGGAAATTCCCAAAGTCCAGCTCTAAGCCACCTCTACCACCCCTGCTTCTTGAGTGCCTCATTCTGATTCTCCTTGAAGATGCCAGGCTGCCAAGGGGATCATGTGACATGGGCTAGGAATYGAACTGACTGTGGCTGGACAACACAGAACCCCTTTGTTGCTCACTAAAACAAATTCCAAATTCCACTTTATGGCACATCACACCAGGATCATATATAATCCTAAAGAATCTTTATTTGTTCTATAATTTAATAGTATACCTATAAAATAATTACATTATACTTATAGCTTTTCTTCATTTATAAACAAAACAAAACAGAAACAATTAAATACAATTTGAGCCAGCATAAGGTAAACTTTATACATACAATAACCCCCCGAAGGAGCTTCACACTGCAGCATATCATATTGCTTTCATTGCTACACCCACAACTGGGTTCAAAAAGAGTGCTCAGGTTGTTATTCTATGAGTTCTTAGCTTAATCTCCCCCCCTTTCTGTGGGGGCTCTGCATTAATAAAACGATAGGGGTTGACTTGGCAGTTGTATTGGAGACTCTCCTCCACTCTCCTTCCACTCCACTCCATCAGCCTCCATTAGGATCATGTGGGCTTCCTTTCTTCACAGTTTTTCTGCTGCATATTCTACACTGGGTCTGAYTTGAGGTTTTCTGCTAAATGAAAATAATCAATTCTGACAGTGGATACCTTTTTTTACTTTTTATCGCCATCCCTGGGTTCCAGCCCTCAATGATTTCTTTTTATTTCTGCTTCCTGATTTTGGGCTACCCATTTCTGAAGCCAAAACCCCATTCATAATAGCACAGTGTGTGCTCAGGTTTTATGGTGTTACGGAAGTGACAGAAATATACAGCTTGCACTGCAGCAGCAGGAAACAGATTCTCCAACATGCCACAACCCACCCCAACCCTTGTTCTCCAGGTGACAAACTCTAGATCCACTGTTACTGCCTAGTGTCAGTTTCAGTCTCCAGAGCAATTTGTAGAGGGTCTCACACATACACTAGGAAACTGACCCTTTGGCTGGAGCACTCGCTTAGAAATTATCAGAGAAAGGCTTTTAGAGTACTCTCATTCCCACCAATGGCATCTCATTCACATTTGTCAGATTCCATAAACATCACTCACAGGGAAGCCTTCCTGGGGCAATTTAGCAAAGAGATTCAAACTGAGTATAGTTTTGTGAGAGCATAAATTATGTCAATTTCCTCATATCAAGAGACCACAACATGGAAACTTTGACAATTCATTAGAAAAAAATGAAAGGTGACCTAATGTTTGCTCATACTTTTAAAGTCTATTCTTTGGAAGGGATACTAGTTTTTTTCCATAGGACAGTTCAACTATATTACTATTCTTTATAGGTTAATCCTTTACTTCCTCCTGCACCACAAAGTGACCCAGTTCCTTATATTCTTAAATACATCTTTAAACAGGAAACAATTTTGCTTAATGTTATGGCAGTGAAAATAGCATCCTGTGTCACCCCACATATGCATAAGGGATTTTGAGTTAATAACTTCCCAATGAATTCCCCTCCCCACACCCATCCACCCCAACCTAATTTCTATATTGTGCTGCAATGCTTTAGTACCTTCAGTGACATAATATTCAAAGTAAAAGCATGATTCTGCCCATTTCCCTGCCCAATCTAAAAGAGGTGCATGACAGTGAATTGCTGACCAGGCATTATGTCTGAGTAAAAAATACCTTTTTGGCAGATCATCACCTGCTGTCCTCCCTACTCAGAATAGTGCTGCAAGGCCAGAGTCAAAACATGTGAAACAATACATGATAGGTCTATAATACTTTTTAACAGCTCTTTACAATATAGGTCAATTATAAAACCAGCGTTAATATAGAGACCTTGTGTGTGATAATATTCTAATTGCAGCGATAATAGCATGCACACTAGAGTTCATCTCGAGTCCACTGATGGAGGCTGGGGAGTAAGGAAGAAAAGGTGGTGATGTCTCCTGGAAGGGTGTGGCCTGCTGAAAGCAAGGTCCCCAGGAAAGCCCACTTGATCCAAGTGGCTCAGTGGTTTTCTTGGTATCGGGTTTGTTTGGAGCCCCTCTGGCCCTGGACATCTCCTTTAAGGACATTGTCCAAATCAGTATCACAGCAGCAGCAAAACCACAAGAATGAATTCTCACCACCCCCAGAGGTCCAGGAAAACAGCAGGAGAAGTTTGAGGGGCTGCTCAGAAGAGTGATGCACCCTTTACAAGGAAAGGGGGCAAGCTGGAGTGTAGGATGAGGCCTGGAAAATACTGGCTTCCACATGGTGGAAACATCCATGCTGGATTTACAATGCATCACCTAAAGTCCTCTCTGACTGCAGGGGGTAGCCGAGAGGTTTCCAGCATCTTTCCATCGGGGCCTGATCCACAACCTAGTTCTGGAGCCCCAGGCAGGGCTCGGAGTCAGTCAGAAATACATCAGCAAAGCTCCACTTGCGTTCCACGTTTGTGACACGGACACCGTCAGCCCCAAAAGCCGTGCTTGCTGCTGAGGGGAGAACACTAGACAGCGTGTGAGTGAGCTCAGAGGACTGGGACCGACCGGGCGGCGACACGACCCAGCGACCAGGGCGCGCAGCGCAGTGCTGAGCTGCGTCCAGCCCCAGGCGTTCACTGCTTGTCAGAGTCGCTCAGGTTCACGGACATACATCGGCACTGCTTCACCTTCTGGATTTTTTTGAGTCGAAAGGGTGGATCCAGCCCGGGGCATTCGAGCTCCACCAGGACCGAGGTGACACGCTGGGGCTTGCAGAAGGCGCAGGACTGAAAGGACTCCTCCTCTTTCTTCACGTGCCGCGGGATGTAGAAGGAGTTGCACTGGCCATAGCAGAAGCGGTTGAGGATGGTGCGGCTGCGACAGCCCTCCTCGCTCACCGTCTGCCGCAGTGGCTGGGTCTTGCACCAGTCACTCTTGAGGTACTTGCGCTCGGTGACCACCAGGGCCTCCTGGCTGGAGGCAAGCACTTCCTTGATCTGGTGATGCCATCTCTCTGAGTTGTTGCTGCTGCCGTCCTTATAAGGTGAGGGGATGGCACCCACAGGTCTATTCTTCCGGGCTTCTGCCACCTTCACCAACACAGTCACCAGGAACAAGGACAGGGAAAGCTTCCAGAACATCCTGCAACGAGAAAAGAGTTAAAGGGATTGGTTGAGAAGGGCGACAGAGTGCAGAATCCATGTTGTCCTTTTAATGCTTTATGGGTTTATGAAGAGAGGTGACAGACTGCARGATGACCAGGGACGGCTGAAAGTGAGGAGCATTAAACAGTCCACTTGAAGATAGCTATGACACTACCATAAATAGTGCCCCAAAGGAAGTAATGAATTTATAATGCAGTTAGAAAACATAAGTTGAACAATTACAGAAATAAAGCAAATGCTGCCAAGAGACACTCAAGCCAGTTCACAGAAGTACCAATAATGGTAAATACTCAAATGTTTATTGTGTTTTAGTATATTGTTTGAAGGGGTTTACATGCACAGCTCATTTGGTCCTCAAAACAGCCTTAAAATGGAGGTGGTATTAGTGTTCCTACTTCATGGTAATAATGCATTGAGGCCCACAGAGGTTCCATCATTTGTTCTACATAACCGGTGAGCAATGGCACAGAATTTGGAGCCAGGTATCTATATCCAGAGCCATGGATATGATTAGAAAAATTAATAAGTAAAAAGTAAAAGGAAAGTTCACAAATTTCTTAAAAATAAGCATTAATGTTAGAAACACACATAGGCTAAAAACGAATAGTCACGTATCTGTTCATTATTACATATAAGTAATAGATAAAATTTAGCATTTAACATCAGTACACAGAAGTTCAGATCAGTCAAATGAGTCATAAATTAGATTTGTATAGTGGAAATTCTTACTTGTGAATTAAGAAATTTCAAGTCTGCATTAAAATTATACCAATGCAAAATTACCTGCGGGAATGGATTGTTTTTTCCAGTTTGGGTATTAGGAGACTGTGACACAAAATCAACAGAAATGGGAATTAGAGAGAAATTATTTTTCCTCTATCTAAAATGTGTCTTGTAGGGAGAAAACTGAAGTTTGACTTATGTGAAATATGGGCTTCAAAGTTCAATTTACATTTTTAATTTTTATATTTTCATGAATAGTCTCAAAAACCCAGCAAAAGAGATGTCTCCCATCTCATTTTACAACTGTAACTCCTAACATAATCCTCTCAGTATCATTATTTTCATCTTTATTAATTTCTTCTCTTTTTTACCACTTGTAAAACTGATAAATCCCCATTCATTTAACATGCACACTCTAACATGGACCCATAGCAATAAAAAGTATACATAAATGTTTATATATATGTGTGTAATATATGTGTATATATCTATACATGTATATTATATATATGTATCAGGCACAAGCATATAGAAATGGTTAAAAGTTAATATTAAGTAGAAGAAATTCTTCAAATCACAAGCTAATATATTTACTAATATTAGAATAACTAATATTTATTGGTTCTCAAAACACATCAGACATGTACACTAAGAAAAATGAGAAATTATATCTAATCTATGTATGATATATCAAAGTGTATAAATGCATTCTACTGTCACGTATAACTAATTAAAACAAATTAAAAAACACACATCACCCACACATTTTTCTTTCATGTGTTAATGTATTTAATCAAAAAAACCACCATGAAATAGGTAGTATTTCTTTCCCCATATTATGAACAAGGAAATTGAACATAGAGAGGTTGTACAACGTGCCAAGAGCACAAAGCCCATGTGTGAAATATTTGAACCTAGGCATCCCAGCTCTGGAATCCGGGTTTTCTGTGACTGTAATTGCCTTTTTGTTAACAATATTTGTGTTAAAATATCTATGTTAAAATTCTTTTTGTTGTTGTGGTTGTTTGCAGGTCTGGGGATGGAACCTAGGGCCTCACACATGCTAGGGAAAGGTTCTAACATTGAGCCACACACCCCCAATCCCACTAAAACTGTATCTTGGTATCATTGTTACATGTCTAGTCTAAGCCACAATAAGCTTTGCACATCAACTACTTATAGTACTGATTCTGGAGTAAGCACTGTGATTGGCTTTGTGAATTCCAGTATGTCTCTATAATAGTTTGGTCCTTAAGTGCCCCTTAAAGACCTATGCATTAAAGCCTTGATTCCCAGCTTAGCACTAGTGAAAATGATTAAAACTTTAAGAGTTGGAACCTAGTGGGGGTGTGTCCTTGAAGGAGATTGTGGCACCCCAATATCTTCCTCTCTTCCTCTTTGCATTATGGTTGACATGAGGGGAGCAATTTTCTCTGCCACACACTCCTGCCATAAAGTACTGCCTCATCACAGGCGCAAAAGCAGTGCATAGTTGCACTCATGGACTGAAACCTGCAAAACTGTGAATCAGAATAAACCTGTCCCCTTTTTAAGTTGGTTATCTCAACTGTTTTGTTCCAGTAAAGGAAAGCTAACTAACACAGGCATCAGTGGCCACCCAGGATATGAAGGTACAAGGAAAAACCAATGGTTGTAGTTAGAGAGGAAACAGGGAGAGCCTAGGAAACAACTAAATGAGCCTTTTAAAATCTGAATAGGATTCCTCAACGTGATGCTGCTGCTGAAAGCAACTGGAGTTAGGTAGTATGGATGAAAATGAGCAAAAAGAAATGCAAAATTTGGTGGGGAGGGGAAACACAGATAATATTCTATCTTTTCTCTCTCCTTCCTTCTTTCCTTCCTTCTTCAAAGATATTTTATCCAACACAATTATTGAAATTTTAAGGCCAAGTCTTTCAAGGGCTTTTCTCATGCCTCCTTAGTTCCACACATGAAGTGTCATGTGAAAATAGCCACCTCTTCCAGCAGACCCATGGCAAGCATTGAGTCTTGGACTCACTCAGCTTACACAGCTTATTATATTTGCAGAATGATTTGTGATCTCAATAGCCTCTTAAAAAGAAAGTATTTTGGTTCCATTTTAATAATTTCCGAAATTATTAACATTCTGAGTAAACACAACCAAAAGTTTGTGAGTCCCAGCCAGGAAAGATTTACAGAGTCCGCCTGGTCCTTAACTCCTAGTTCCAATAACAGCCTCACATGCACCATTGATAGGCTCGAAAACGCATGCTTTCATTCAACACCTTCTAATTCTTGTCGGGGAGAGCAGAGCTGAAACATGCTCAGATCAATCTGGGGCAAAAACTCTCCGTGTCAACAGTATTAGATGTGGTGATTAACAACATGCATTCTTTGAACACTTTAAAATGGTTTCAAAACATCTGGCACACATCCCTAGAAGTCATGTCTCACAGGAACCTAGGAAGGAAAAAGCAAACCTCCAGTTTTCAGGAAAGGAAAAGAGACAGATAAAATCTAGGTGTCTGGGGCCAAGTCAGTCTCTTCTCTCTTTCCTTTCTTACATCTCATTTCTGTTCTCCTTCACACATGGCCACAGTAAGCTCACCTCACCTCAGTGTCAGTAAGCTCACTGTCAGAACAGGTAAGTAGGAAAGAGGTGTTTGCCATGACGATTATTCAATTATATCCTCTTTCCTTCAGGGACACTGATGTAATTGAACCCGCTGTTGCTAAAGGCTCCTACTCTACTGGCCCTTGCTTGTGGAGGGTTCACCAAGGAGACAATGTACATGCCATGCCTCTACCTTCAGTTTGCCAATCATCCTTCCAGTGGTCTGACCAGGACCTGAATTCGGCACTTCAGAGTCCTGCTCTGTCCCGACACCCTTTGCTATTCAGAGAAATGGCTGGCATACAATTAAGCGCTCAGGAATGTTGCCACAACTGCCAGTAATGACAGCATGAGGATACTTCACTTTACTCTCACATCTCATGTTTGGCTTGTATGAGAAGAAACTCATAAATAAATCCTGTCGGCTTTATTAACCATTCTTCTGGCTTGACAATGTTTTCAGTTTGCAAGGGGTGCCAGGACTATAAATGCTGATGGCCTAAGCAGACTGGGTTGGCCAAAGTTGATTGTGCAAAAAAGAGAGGTAGTAGAAGCATTTTTTTCTCTTAAGTGAACGCCCTTGGACCTGGCCTTTGTAGATACAAGAACAAGAACTGGCCAGGTCAAAGCAGCTGAGAAATCATAGTCCCCCTCTATGAGCCCTTTCTAGAAATGTGAAGTCCTGAACAGGGTCCCTACAATAGGATCTGGAGCAAGAAAGCTTCCTGATTTCTAGGAAAGGATACAGCAGAGATGAATCATCTATCCCAACAGGTGTATGCAAGTGAGCAAAGGCCATTGGTGCAGTTAAGCTGATGAACTCACCRCCACAGTGAACTTGCTGCATTTTAGAAGTCAGGCCAAGGCAGAACTGGACTGTGTAGAAGTGGTGAATGGCAGGAAGGGGATGAAACATTTTCTGTGACCTAAGAATTCTAGAGTGTCCTTGGAAAATTAAAGAGAARTACCCAGGGCTAAATATCCATAGGCATTCTGGGATAAACTTGCTCCTACCACCCAAGTGAAAACACATTAAAAAACAAACACAAGGGGCTGGGGATGTGGCTCAAGCGGTAGCRCGCTCGCCTGGCATGCGTGCAGCCCGGGTTCGATCCTCAGCACCACATACCAACAAAGATGTTGTGTCCGCCGARAACTAAAAAAAAATAAATGTTAAAAATTCTTTCTCTCTCCTCTCTCTCTCTTTAAAAAAACAAACACACAAACAAACACAAGATCCAAACCAAAACCCCCAACAATGTTAAACATCCAAGTATATATTTTTTTGAGTTTTCTACTGCCATCGCTTCAACAACCAAAGTACTTCTTCTGTGATTTTGATTCCTAGGCTGTAAGGGTACTGGTTTAGCTCCCTAATCAACTCTCTAGAGATAAATGTGAATTTTCCTTGGCCCCTGGATCATCCTTGTAGCCTAAGATTGCTTGTCTGCTGAAACCACTTACCTCCCTGGCAACTCTAAACTGAGGGAAATTACGGCCCACAGGCCAAACCCAACCTGAGGCCCTTTATTGTGAATAAAGTTGTATCAAAGCATGGCCATGCCCATTCATTTACATTTTGTCCACAGCTACTTTTGCTCTGTAAAAGCAGAAAGTGTAATGCAGACAGTGACCATAATGCCCACAAAGTTAAAAAC